CAATGGGGGCAGCTGCCCCCACTGGAATTTGAAAAAAATATTGGGGTGTAGTTGAAATTTTTTGAAGTTTTAGAATTTGTTAAAGATTGCTCCCACTGAAAATCTTTTAAACTTAAGGGTAGTAATGTATATTTTCAAACATGTGGGTTCCTTTAAACGTTAGCAAAAGTAAAAAGTTACTTTATCAGGGCACAGGTCCCTGTTTTCTTTGTTCCGGCCAACACTTCGTCCGTCGCCTTTGTGATCTTTCTCTGTTCAACGTCCGTGGATCCTTAGGCTCTCTCTTTGTTGTAGCTCTGCACTCTGAAAATTCGTTCCCTTCAGTTTTTTACTCTTTAGTAGTACCTCTCTATTTTTTACTTCAATTATTATTGTCAAGATCTATTGGAAAGACAACTTAAAAGGAAGGAAGTTTAGGAGATTCTTTCAAAGCTGGCTTATCAGAAGGTAAACAATGAAGGATTTCTTTGATTTCGATCATTATTATATGTTTTTAATTTTTGGTGTCGTGATTAGGGTTTTCAAATAATTGGATTTTTATGTTTGGAATTTATATGTTATAAATTATTTTTTGGATTAAATCATTTCGATTGATTAGGCTTGAGTAAATTGATTGTAATGAATTAAGTTATTCCTATATCTAAGATTGATTTAGCTAAAAAAAATCTTGACCTGATTTAGTTATTTTTTTTTGGACCCTAGATTGATTTAATTGACTTGTGACAGATTTGATTTTTTTAAACTATTTTGATGTATTTTGCATGAATAATGCATACTAAGTTATGTCTGACTAATTTTTTAATCAACTATTGATAAAAAGTTTTTGTCAGATTCTATAGATAATAACTTCATAATATTTTTTTTTGTTGATTTTTTTGTATTTCTCTCGTATATAAAGGTTGTCTTTAATTAATATTCTTTTAATGAAACAATGTTTTTGGTGAAAACAATGTCAATAATTAGAGTTAAATATTTATATGTTTAAAATTGTCCCCACATAAAAAGTTATCTGGCTCCGCCGTGAGGGGAGTCATCTATCTATTTTCTATGAGTTTGTTGACGCCATTGCCATATCAGAGAGAGGGAGAGAGCCATGAGAGTTAAAGAATGTAGATTGGCATAGAGGGATTGGGTTAACGGTTTTGTCAAAGTGATTGGCTTCTTAGACGACACTTGGAATTACTGATTATGCTGCTAATAAATATACACACAGACCCTTAAGGTTTGCATGCACATGACACGTAGACTCTTATTATTAATATTCGTTATATATCCATTAGTAAATTATATCTAAACATCTAAAATTTGAAACATATAATACTTAGCTCCCCCAAATTTAAAATATTATATTTAGACAAAAAATATTCTAATTAAATATAGGATATCAAATGTTTTAAATTTTATAACTAAAATTCAAGTTCTATTATGTTCTTTATTGAAATAAAATCAAAAATCAAAATTTAATTTTTTCTTAAAAAAATTATAATTAGTACTGTTGATGCCAAATTTTGGATTATATCTACGTCAATTTGTTGGACTTCGATCAACTGGAAAAGAAATTGGAGGCTAGAGGGGACCTCTGTGGGTTGACTCTCTGATACATAAGTTAGTAAGTGATTTAAAAGTATAAACTATATTTAGAAACTAAGAGTGGCATACCTGGACCATTTTTGGATTAAATGGACTTGTCACATTGGATCAATTATTTTATTATCAAGTACAAACATATAAAATAAGTCTGCTTAACACATTTGCATGTTACATTATGTCAACCATTGACATAAAAACTAAACAAAATTTCAATTTTTTTGAGAAAAAAATAGTAATCAGTATAAATAAATCAAAGAACTTAATTTAACACTCATTTACATACAATTATATTTTCTATTGGAATAAAATTTAAAAACCAAATAAGGGATTAAACTATAATTGTGCAATATCTTTTATCTTTAATTGAGGTAATTTGGTTGTTTAATAGATTTTGCTAATTTCGTAACTAATAAGGGGTCTAAGTGTAATATTTTAAATTTGAGAGGTCAAAGTGTTATACGTTTACAAATTTCAAAGGGTCTGAGTATAATTTACTAATAATATCCAAAGTCTCTAAGCTAAGTGTTGTGCGTGTACAAATTTTAAAGAGTTTATATGTAATATTTTAAATATCATGGATTTAAGTGAGTAAGTGATAAATCTCACGGATATTGAGTGTAATTTTTTCTAACTAAAATGAATGTAATTAATTATATATTAATTAAGAGAAAACTAAAAGACAAGAAGGATTCCATTGACCCCCGAAAAAATTGTCACCGATGAAAAAAAATGGATTATCAAAAGTTAAATTTTGTAATTAAAGCTTAAATATTAATGTTGTTACTATCAAAAGATTAACGTCGTTAATCTATATAATAAAGTAGTTAAATTATTTGTCTTGAATTTTTCACAGTCAAATCTTTTGAAAATTATTGATCCGATGATCCTAATTGAACATTCATTCTTTTTATAACTTTAGGACTCATATCTCTTCTCTATTTCATACATCCAAATATTTATCTCTCTATCTCATATCCCTTTTATATACACTATATATATGTATATATCTCTTAGACATTTTAAATATACTCTCCCCAACACACATTTTCTCATCTCTCATATATATAGATATCTATCTCTTTGTGTTATTTGTATTTTTATTTTTAGTGCTTCTTTACCTAAAGTAGCAGCTTTGACATGATTTTATTGTGGTTAAATATTATGTGTTAAATATGCTATTGTTATTTTTTAGTAATTCTATACTCATACATTTGTATGATTTTATAGATAAAAAAATATTTAAATGTTAAAAAAAAAATTTCAAAACCAAGCTAATCAATCACCAATAAAAAAAAATAAGTGAAATCAATTGCACCAAAAAAATTAAAAAATTCAAAGCCAAGTAATCACCAATAAAATAAAATAAAAAACAAGTGAAACCAAGTCCACAAAAAAAACAAAAAAAATTCAAAGCCATGCTAATAATCAATAAAAAAAATAAGTGATACAATTGCACCAAAAAATTAAAAAAAATCAAAAGTCATGCTAATCACCAATAAAAAAAATAATAAGTGATTGAATTTATAATTATATTATATTATTAGGTTGAATGGTGACGATTGTGATAAATTCATATGTTTTATAAATGAGTAAGATTTTATTTATTACTTAAAAATTATAAATTTTATTAGGTTTCGCTAGTATTTTTTTTATTTTGAGGTATTTGATACATGTGATGTTGTTTTGGGGAATTTTTTATACATTTTTGTGATAGTTCTATTAATATGGAGGATATAATTGACAGTATATTTTGGGTCATTTTAAAAAAATTGATATAAATATTTTTGGGTCATTTTCTCTTTCAATTTGGACAATTACTTTCGATTTTTTTATATGTTATATAGTGTTTTTAGGCATGATCAATGACTAGTTATTTTATAAGGGTTATTATAGTCAAATAAAAACATTCCATCTATATTATATTTTAGGGTTAATTGCATTGAGGGACCCAAAATATGATATTTGTCTAATTTTAGTATTTAATATTTCAATTGTATTATTTTAGTCCTTAAAATATTGAATATAATTCTATGTGGTCTCTTAAGCATATAATGTCTAGATTGCTAATAATTTTTTATTATAATTTTTTTATGTAATAACTAAATATAGATAAAAAAATAATTTAGATAACTTTTAACTAATTTTCTATGGGTTAATTGCAAGTTGCACCCTGAAAGATCATTCGAATCTCAATTTACACCCTCAAAGATCAAAAATCCCAATTTACACCCTCAAAAATAAAAAATTGTATCAATGTGCACCCCCAAAGATCAAATATCTCAATTTGTACCTTCAAAGATAGGAATTTGTATCAATATGCACCCCCAACGATAAAACATCTCAATTTGCACCTCAAAAATAGAAATTTATCCAATATACTATGAAATTCAAAATCAAGCTTACCATTTGAATGTCTAATAGAATAAAGGGTTGCATATTGAGTGATATATTGCATTGGATATAAAAAATATTATATAAATATCTACATTCTATTAGACATTCAAATGATAAGCTTAATTTTGAATTTTAAAATATATCGGACCCACAAAATAAAGAGTAATATGAAATTATAATTTTTTATTAAAATAAAATCATATTTTTTAATGGTTATATTAACATATATCAATGAAAAAAAGTTACGTGTAACATGTGCACAAACGTCATGAGATGTAGGAGTAATATTCTAAATGTGAAGGGGTCCAAATGATTAAGTGACAAGCATGAGAGGATCTAAATATAATTTATCTATTTAGTTTTAAATGCACATTGATACAAATTTCTATCTTTGAGGGTGTAAATTGAGATTTTTGATTTTTGGAGGTGCATATTGATACAAATTTCTATTATTGAGAGTGTAAATTGAAATTTTTGATCTTTGGAGGTGTAAATTGAGATTCGAACTATCTTTCGGGGTACAACTTGTAATTAATCCAATTTCTATCTAAATTTTAGTCAAATAGTTATCTAAATTATACAATTTTGATTATGAGGTATTCAAATTTTAATTAAAAGCTATCCATATTACACATTTTTGGTTAATAATTATCTAATTTTTTGTCAAGAGTTACCTAAATTATTTTTTGTCCATATTAGATATCACTTGATATGTCTATAATAAAAGATGACTAATAATTTGAATATTATCTGCTTTAAAGGTCAAATAAAAATATATTTAATATTTCAATAATCAAAATAATACAATTAAAACATTAAAAACTAAAATAAAATAAAATCTATATTTTAAACACTTCTAATGCAATTAACCCTTCTAAAGTAGTATAGATAAACTAAAATTTCTTAAATCTTTCTGTAGTGCAATTCGTCCTAAGTTGAGTAAACTCCTCCGGGATCTTTTTCGTCCTCCTCTGTAACTCTCTTTTGCCCCTAGCCCGGTAGGCTTCTACTCCTCTGTCCAATGCTAAACCCACTTTCTTCCATGGCCCCTCGTTAACAATCACGCACCTAAAACCCACATGCCTTTCTACTCCATGTGAATGCGAGTTCAGGGAAGGCGCTTTTTTGCGAGAAGTCAAAATCGTTGATCCAACGACACTAAGCACCTAATGGCAGATCTACAATCTCCCCCATCACATCCACCTCCTCCACCGCCACCAACGCCACCGCGCTCCACCACGGATCTCTTCGGTGACCCGATCGATTCCCATCCCTTATGGTTCAAGCAGTCCTCATTCCTCGATCCAAACTTCGACTCTAACGCCTACATCTCCGACCTCCGAACGTTTGTCCCATTCGAAACCCTCCGATCCGAGCTTAACTCCCACCTTTCTTCCCTCAAGCACGAGTTAATCGAGCTCATCAATCGCGACTACGCCGACTTCGTCAATTTGAGCACCAAGCTCGTGGATGTCGATTCGGCCATTGTTCGGATGCGGGCCCCATTGAATGAGATCAGAGAAAAGATATTGGTGTTCCGTGGGACAGTGGAGGGATCTTTAATGGCGTTGCAGAGTGGGTTGAAACAAAGGGCGGAGGCTTCGGCCGCGAGGGAGGTGTTGGAGCTTTTGCTCGATACCTTTCATGTTGTGTCAAAGGTAAGAGTACAGATTTTTCGGATTTGAAGTGTATCCTAGTTTTTTCTGAGAGGATTTTAACTGCATATAATGTTGGTATTTTGGGGTGATGGTTTTGAGTTTGGTAATTGCAAAAGTGAGAAGAAGTTGAGATTTCTGATATTGGAGTGGCATTGGAGGAAATGGAGAACTTCTTTATAGATTTAGTCTATTTTACTCTCTGTCTGCCCAGAAAATTTAGGAAAATAACACATATTTGAATTTTGGGAGCTTAGACATTTTACGCATTTTAAATGGAAACGGGGATAATCTACTTGGAGATTTACTATATGGCCGGGGTACAATTCTTGAGGAAATGTAGGATGGTACTTAATGTAACTTATGTTTGTATTCACTTTCCGAAAAAAAAATATTTGTATTCAATTTTTTCGTTTTTCAAAAAAGTACTATGAGCATGGTACAGTTGGAATGATACTACACCTTCAAGAATGTAGGATTGCATTTTATGTAACTAATATTTGTATTCAAAATTTTCCTTTTTGATAAAAGAAATTGATCCTACACCTTCAATATTTTACTTTGAAATTAACTTAGAATCCTCAGATTATGAAGAGAATACTAGTTAACATCCCTTGAATACCCAGAAGCATCTAGCCCTTTTGCTTGGTGGGATGATGCAGGACCAGAAACCAAATTTCTTTTTGGGATCTTTGAATTACCATAACTTGAAGCTAACAAATGGGAACTTTCAATCAACTTAGTTGTACACAATTATGTACTGAAAGTATCTTGGTCGACTAAATATTCTGTGTTAATTGTATACTTGGTCTTTTTTCTATGCAAACAAAAAGACACTTCATACCCTTTTGAAGGATATGAAATATTGCTTCATTTGGTTGCTGAGGATGTGTTGGCAAAGAGGAGTTGAAATCTTGGCCCTACCAAATTGTAGAAGGTGCAAATGAAGTAGAATTTTGGATCTTAAATTCTTCATTGTTTCAATGCAAACCTTGTTCTAGCTTTCTGAAAAGAAAAGAAAAAGCATAAATTTAGAATTACCATGTGTTTTACTTTGTTTTCTTTCCAATCAAATGGAGGGTCACATCTAGGGATGAAGCGAGGATTATTTTCTTAGAGGCCCAAATAGTGATGTAACTGGACATTTGTCTTCAATGGGGGGTCATTCACTAAGCAACAACTAATGTTAAATTTTTAGTTGAGTAAAATATATCAAAATCATTTTTTTACATGATCCATCATAATATTATTTATTCTTAGTAAATAGAGAAATTTGATTCAAGGTTGCTGAGCGAATTAGTTGTAGAACACTTTAGATTAATTCGTGAAACAATCAATAATTTAAGTCAATTTTATTGCATAATCATTTGAGAACAACTAAAATTTATCATGTCTTTGCAAATTACGAAAAGCAGCACAAAAGGAAACAAAGAGTGTGCAGGTCTTTCAAAAAGTTGTTTTATACGGATTTGAACCCTTTGTATTTAGGTTCTGGTGAATGATATTTTGTTCCCATAAACTATGGCCTTTATTTCACCCCATCCATTTAGGATTGATTTAGATATATTGCACCACAAATCGTTCAAATGTGTGATATTTTATACAAATTTTTAAATTTAATTTTGCACAACTCGTTAAATTGAAAAAAAAAAAATCCACAACAATATTCTAAATGGTTAATGGTATAACATGTTCAATCAATAATTGACAGAAACAAGGAAACCAAAATCATAATTTTTAAGAATATAAAGTATAATTTTAAAACTTGAGAGGGTCATATAAAAATAAAAAAACTTAACTTAAGGAGGAGGCGAATATAATTTCAAGTGGTGTAAACATGATTTTTGAAACTTGAAAGAGGGGGGGGGGGGGCGTGGCTCCCTTGGCCATAACATGGCTCTGGCCATGGTTGCATATTTTTTCTGATGGTCTTTATGTATATTGTTTTCAAGGAAACAAGAATAAAATGAATGATAAAAGTTTGAAGAGTACATGAGAAAAAGGGGGTCCGGTAGATAATACAAAATTGAAAATAAGATTAAGAAGCTAAAAGCAAAAAACAACAATGATCCGTAATCGAAAAGAGCGGAATTCCTTCGAAAATTCTTTTGTTGTGGAAGCCTAAAGAGGTGCCATCTAGAGTGGGAAGGTTTTATCTTATGCGTCCCAATTATGTGTGGAATATCTTAACACCTAAATATGTTCTTTGGGTATGGTCATTCATTTGCATTTCCAAGCTTTTTGAAGCAGATATAGAGTATTGTTAGTGATAGAAGAAAAGGGAAACAAAATTAATTGGTCTGGTTGGTTCCCAATGATTTGTGCATATTGTTGAAATGAAGTTTTGATTCTTCTGAGTGAAGGTTGAGAAACTGATAACAGAGCTGCCTAGTTTGCCTGCCGATTGGTCCAATGGAGATGTGAATTATACAGAAAATGGTCATTTAAGCAATGGTATCTCCTTACAACATGCTGAAAATGGAACAAGTCTCAGGGAGACTCAAAGCATGCTTTTGGAGAGAATTGCCACCGAAATGAACAGGCTCAACTTCTACATTTCCCATGCGCAGGTCTTATCATGCTCTCATCCTTTTGTTAAGTCATTCTTGATTGTTGGACTTGTCCTAGGATTTGTGATTATGGTAACATTAAACTACTATTGCTTGTTTTTGGAGATCTGTTACTGCAACTTGTAAGTTTTTTCCCCTGAAAGATTAAAGTTTAGTGTTGGTCCAGAGCATCACTTGGTTGCCTCTAATATAACCTATGATTGCCAAGGTGAAATGTCCTGCTGAGCAAATAGGTGCTAGTTCTTAGTTTTCACAATTCATTTAACATTTATGATAGATTATATATATAGCTGTAGTCCAATCTAAGAGAAATAGCAAGGAGGATTTGAAACACTGCTGAGTTGACAATATAGAATTTGAAGTGGGTTTGGGCCACATGAAATACTTCGAAACAAATGCGAATTTTTAAACTTCATATCTCAGTGGTACCAGCGCATTGAAGTATGAAATATCGAGTATAAACTCCGATTATTTAATCAATGTATCAATAATCAATCAAATATTCTTGTCTACGTGAGTATATTATGTGGATAAACAGGAGCTGAGGCTGCTGAGCTACATAGATCCCTAGGTCACCCTTTCCCTTAGTATAAAAAAGAAAAATTACCTTTTTGTCAAAGAAGCTGACAATTATGATAACCTTCTTACACACATATAATAATGCTAATGCAATTACATCTTTCTTCCCTAGCCCAAATCACTGTGCTGCCAGATAGCTATAATTTTTGTGGTATAATAGCTGTCCTCTTGTGACCTTTTCTTTTATTTTTCTCTCCCTATGTATCTAATGCATTTTCAGCTTGCGTATGAGTCTCATCATACTGGTAGTTATGCAACATTTAGGGCAATAACCTAGACATTCCTTACAAACAAGTAGCTATCTTTGCTTGAGCTATTGCAACGCATGCATGGAAGAACAGTCAATACCTTTTCATCAGATGTGCTATCTCAAATGTGTTTGAAATTCTCAATTCCTCTATCCTGAGGATATGGTGGAATTATGTTTGTGTAATATTTTATTGTTTTTGAATTGGTTAATTTCCTCTGGTACGTGTTAATGCTCTATTGAGGATCTGCATCCACCTAGTTTCTATAGATTAAATTCCATTGTGAAGAATCAGTGGATTCTAAATAATGGTGTTAATAACTTATGCAAAGTCTTTTCTCTATTATGGCAGTACAGAATCTGCCCTTCATTGGGAACATGGAGAAGAGGATACAGAGTGCTAGTGCATTGTTGCACACAAGCTTGGGATGCTGTTTTGTAGATGGCCTGGAACATCGGGATTCAATTGCAATATACAATTGCTTACGTGCATATGCAGCGATTGATAATACCAAGAGCGCTGAAGAAATTTTTCGTACAAATGTTGTGGCACCGTTGATACAGAAAATTATTCCAAACAATTCATTGGGGGTCACTGGTGGGGCATCTGGAGATGCACTTGAGGAGGATTATAAACAAGTCAAGCAATTTGTTGAAAAAGATTGTAAATTTTTGTTGGAAATTTCTTCTACAGGTATAATCATTAACCTTTGTTGCTGGGTTCATGAATTTTGATTCAACAATCTCTTGCTTTTCCAATTTTCGTTTCTGATATGACTGCCTCAGATATGAGCATTTTATTTCTTTAATACCTTTTATTTGACTGGGGTCTATTTGGATGCTGAACCAGAAATTCTTTCTATCTTCACATATCCTTCTCCAATCCTTTTTACTTCTTTGGTCATCCTGTTTTTAATCTGCATGATGTTCTTCAATCTCGCTTTCATTTTGAGTAATTGATCAATATGAAGAAAATAGACTTGCATTTCATATTCTGAAATAATAAAAGGTGTGCTGTATGCCTGCGCTTTCTTGCTAGTTTCTTATGTTTCAAAGCTGGCAGCAAAAAAGGATAGGAAACAACAAATTTTTTATTTTATGTTTATTAACCACGTGCAGTGTTTGACATGGCGTGCAGAAAATTCAGGTTTGCATGTATTTTGCTTCCTGGCTAACTCAATCCTTAAAGAGGTTCTCTCGGCAATCCAAAGGGAAAAACCAGGGGCCTTTTCTCCTGGAAGACCTACAGAGTTTCTAAAAAATTATATATCAAGCCTGGATTTCTTGACTCATTTAGAAGGTAGTAGAAAGACTTCTGTTGTATCTCTATTTCCAATTATGGCCGGTTAAAATACATTGTATATGCATATAACTTTTTTATTTGGGTTATAACATCCAATGGTTATGCAAGGTTACTGCCCATCCAGATCTGCGGTTGTGAAATTTCGAGCGGAGGCAGTCTATATTGATTTTATGAAGCAGTGGAATGTTGGGGTCTATTTCTCATTGAGGTACTCAGTATTATTAGACAATTGCTAGTCTGTCAGAATAGAAAAAATCAATTTATTTCTATGTCCTGCTTATCCTCCCGTTCCCCTCACCCTCACCCTCACCCCACCCTCACAAAATCAAAAAAAGAAAAAGAGAGGGTAAAAAAACCAATAAGAACATAAAGCAATGTCATGAGCAACTGATATAAATTTGTAGCCTCAGGTTTCAGGAGATTGCCAGGGCTTTGGATTCTGCACTTGTGGTTGCTAGTCTTATGCCAGTTCAGAACTCAAATTCTTACCAACAAAATTCTCAACATTTAAAGTTAAAGCAAAGTGTCTCTCTTTTAGAGTGCTTGAGATCCTGCTGGAGAGAGGATGTTCTTGTTCTTTCTTGCTCTGACAAGTTTCTTCGCTTATCTTTGCAGCTCCTTTCTAGGTCAGTGTGAATTTTGGAATGAGAAAATTTGAACTTTCCTATATATTAGAACTAATTTGCTGACCTTCGAATTATTTGATTGCATAATCCTTATAGATACTCAAATTGGTTGTCAGCTGGACTGGCTGCTCGTAAAGCTGGTAATGCTGGCTCGAGCACTGGGTCTGAATGGGCTATTTCTGCTCTACCAGATGATCTCATATATGTATGTATGCATCATTTGTTAATATCAGTATATCGTACTTTCTTCTCTGGAACAATTTTTTTCTATGATCGGTTTGCTATTTGCTCTTTCCAGGGTACACATTTTGTTGGTTGTTTTTTTTTTTTTTTTGGGTGGGGGGGAGGGGTTCAATGATGGAGGAATATCTTATTCAATTTTTTCTTGGTAAGTCTCTTTAGGGAGGGACATGCCCCTGGTTTTCCATCTCTGAAATCTAATTGACGGGGAGAAGATTTCTGTGATAATGATCATCGTGGAAAATGAAATCTGTTTGAACTATAAATAGAATAGTTACTGCATGACAATACCGACTTACTGACCTAGTTTTTGGGCATCCTAACCAGAACTACCTAGAAAGACTCAGGTCCTGGCATATGCTATTTGATGTTTTAAAATGTCCAAGGATATCTCTTAGGATGTATTTGCCGGCAGAACATGGATGTGGTAAGCACATGTTGAACCTGAACCAAGCAAACTATCTGTTTTCTTTGGGCTAATGATGCAATCTGTCAATGGAATTGCAAAAGAAGCCTTGATGCCTATGTTATGTACTCTGCAGCTAATCTTTCTGTTGGGGATTGAAGAATTTGCATTTAAATTTTACTTTTGAGTAGTATAACATATAAACAATCACTTATTCAAATAACCTTTATATAGGATGTTTGATATATCGTCTTGCTTATGTGAAATAGCCAATTAAGAAGGAAAAATTATCTGATTTGCATTTTGTTCTTCATTAAGTCTCTGCATGGAGATATTACTGATATTACTGGTCTTTACGGTATATGAGCATGGAAATTAAGTGGATTCTTATCTTGTAGTAAAAGTATATATAGTTTGGTGTTCTACTCTATAAGTGTCGTGGCGTGGTACAATGGTAAAAGCCAAGGCTTTCAAAAGCAAGAATGCTGTTACATTTACAATATTTCTTTGGCATCTCTGGTGTGATGTACTTTATAACAAGCAAAAGTAGGTTGGCTAAATATGAAAGATCTGGATTCACACTGAAGACCCCAGGGCAGTTACCTTATGTCTGTGATTTCTTTAAGTCCATTACTTTTCTCAATTACAATTTTTTTCTTCCATTTTTCACATCCATATTTTTTTTCACTTACTCCTCCTGAATTCTAGTTAGAGAAACTTGTTAACAATTTGAGAAGCTTGAGCTTCATGTTTTTATGTGTGCGACTTATGATGTATAGACTACATCTTATTGATGCCATTATACCCTATGCAATAGGTAACCATGCTTAATTTACATGAAATTTTCTTTTGCAGGTGATTCATGATTTAGATTGTCTGGTGATGGAGATTTGTGGTGATTACCTGGGACAAGTACTTGAGCTTCTCAAGTCATGCTCTGCCGAAATACTTGATCTTGTAAAACAGAGCATTTTACAGGGTGGAAAATCTTTAAAGGAGCTTGTACCTCAAGTGATGAACTCAATAGTAGAAACACTAGTTGAGAAGTCTGTGGAGGTAAGCTATATATCTAATCATAGTTTTTCTTTGAGTTTGCTATGCAATGTTGAATGGGTGAATCTAAGTGGAGATGTGGTGCCAGATTTTATGTTCAACTTGATGCTTGTAATTAATTCATATTGTTTAAAATTGATGTAGGACTTGAGACAACTGAAAGGAATAACTGCAACGTACAGGATGACTAATAAACCTCTCCCTATCAGACATTCACCATACGTCACAGGAGTGTTACGACCTTTGAAGGTATGCATTCTTCTTCCAATTATAGGATATATTGCATCAGTCTTCCTCTTGTTTTGAGTACAGTACTACTACTACGACTGCTACTAGTAGTAGTTGTAGTAGTAGAAGAAGAAATACTGTTTTAGCAGTAGTGCAGGATCTGGAGTGATAACAAGGTGTCTGTACTGGAAGGTGCAGCTGTATCACCTCCTTTTCCGAGGGGGAGTTACTGCTTGTTGGTTATATTGGTTCGACACTGCTTCATGCAAAAAGGTGGATGCTCTATATAAGTTTAACATGGAGATAATGCTCTATATAAGTTTAACTTGGAGATGAGAGTCTTATTTTGTTTGTTGGTGATAAAGTGACCAAACGCATGAGCTTATTATCATAGACCAGGAAAAGTTGATAGGATCCCCTTTTTCATGTACTCATGTCCCCTGGATGGCAACATGGGACGGGAAAAGGAAAAAGGGGGGGTGGGGTTTCTCTTGCTTTTGGCATAACAGGCCTCCAATGAGACATGCTGGTACAATGGGCTGTTAGCTCCGTGGTAGAGTACACCCCCGATAATTGTGTCATTTGCTTGGGTTGGGAGGGTTCTCAACTACATGGATTCAAAGTGCTCATTGTGCGTGACCCTCAGATGTCAATTCTCCACAGAACCTTTGCATGGCATAACATCTTGTTCGAATCGAAAATTCATTCACTATATTAAAGTGGGAAATTTAATCATGGTGAAGTAATATTGAGAGTATTTTAAATCACAATGCAGTCTTCTCTTTTAAAATTGATTATTAGTGCCTTAGAGTCCATTGTATCTGATCCTTCTTGCTTGGGAAGAGTTATTTAATTTTACAACCTTTTCTAGTTTGCAATTGCAATGTCACGAACATTTCTGAGGATGTTATGTGATTTATGTTGATGTTTTGACCTTATGAATTAGAAAGGCACAATTTATTTATTTATCAATCAATTTTCTGGGGACTTCTTTCGCTAGGCATTTCGGGTTGCTGTTCAGTCTGATATTGTGGTTTGGGGGGATTTGGCATAACTTCTATAAGAAGCAAAAAAATCACTTACCTTCAAGATTTTTTGATTTGTTTTTTATTTGGGAAGGTGAGCAAGGATTGCACTACCGTTGGTCCTACAAAATGAGCAAATTGCCAGAGACCAATGGTAGGCCGGTCGGAGGCACTTCAATGCCTAAGTCAGTAATGGTTCTGAAAGAGAGGAACATAATTTGCAGGATTCTTTTGTGTACCTTTAACTCAGGCTTAACCTGGTTTTTATAAGGTTGTACGGCATAGTCTATGCCACGATTTAGCTTTTGGACACATTAGGTGGCACATCTAATGTTTAGCTGAATCCTTTTTGGATGCTAGGATCTCTCCTAAACTTCTTCTGTCTGCTTATAAGGATGTGATGAATGTTCTTCTGTGATTAGGGCAACGTTTCTGTCAATTTAGCCTTGTCTTGCTCTCTTGCTTGTTGAAGGGTCTGTATAAAAGGCTATTTGTGCGTTGTGCTTTTTGAATTTACTATTTTGACATCATCTGCATGGTTTAACTGTGGTTGATGTGGTGCTTCCCTTGTGTTTCTTGCACGTGCTTTTGGTCACGTGTTTCAAGGCACATAATCTCATTAACTATCCTAATCATGCACAGTTGTTTTATGCCCCTTCATGTTCTATCTTTTGTTATTTTTCATAATGCAAGATCTGACACATGCAGGTTTTGTTCACGTTTATTGTACCGGTGTTATTTCCAATAAAATACAGAAAATATAACTTGTTATGATTTATGACACTCCTAATTGTAGGAATCATGTCATCATCCTTAAAAACCTAGAAATACTCCTTGGTCTGTGCCATGATTGGACTGGTTACATTAGACTGTAGACATAATAATATTTCTTTGCATTAGCAAGGTATACATGCCTGGGGGCAATCTGGGGGCAATGTTATATTTTCCACCATATTTAAATTCTTTGTTCCATCCTGTTCTAATGGAAAGTGTGATGCTATACATAGGATCTATATCGGAGTGCTTTTGCTAATCAATTAACTTCAAAAAAATCACACTTTCATTTAAAGGCCCCACTTTTTGCAGGCATTTTTGGATGGAGAGCGAGCGGTCACATATCTAACAACTGAAATCAAGAATGAAATCTTACACGGCACTGCCTTTGAGATTACTGGTCGTTATCATGAATTAGCTGCAGACCTTGTTAATGTGGTTAGTATATTATATCGATATTCTGTAGTGAAATTTTAGCTCCCCACCTCTTCTTGTACTACCTTTTTTGTCTTGAACACTCCTGATTTATAGGTTTTTGTCATCTTGGCCAGGCTAGGAAAACGGAGTCTTCACTTCAGAAGATACGTCTGGGTGCACAAAGGCGAGCTGGAGCAAGCTCAGATGTCTCAGACCATAATGTGTCTGATACTGACAAAATATGTATGCAATTGTTTCTTGATATTCAGGTAATCTTTGAATAAATCTTGTAATTAGTAAAGAGTGGAAGCTTGCAAAAGTTTTAATTTTTTAACTTTTCTTCATTTCACCAGGAGTATGGGCGCAACCTTAATGCTCTTGGAGTTGATGCAGCAAAAATTCCTGCATTTCGTTCTTTGTGGCAGTGTGTTGCTCCTTCAGACAGGCAGAATACAATAAACTTCTAGTTTCGTTACTAAAAACTGCATGACTGGAAAATGATGTACTTGGCGGCGAGTAGCCGAGTGTATTTTTGTCCTTTTGGGCAAGTGGTTATCTTGCAACTGGGAGCAGCAGCATTTGGCATTAGAGGCTTGTAGACATGCCATTTCTTTTTCTCTGCAAAATATTCCTGTGGAAAAGTGGCAGATCATATGGCTGCTGAGCATTTCACAAGTGGGAGACGAAGCATTTTGGCGTGAGAGGCACATGAGTATACATTTCCCTTTTCCCTTCTAATTATTTTTGTAGTTAGGTTTTTGTTCTGTAATGCATTTTTGGTTGCTGCTATGTATTTAGTAGATACGATTTCACATCCATCTTATTTCCAATTGACATTCATCTTACACAATCCAATATGCAAGAGGGTTGTACTGTGTAAATTCGTACTGCTGTGTTAATGATGAATAAATTCTTACATTCAATCTGTCCAAGACAAGAACACAGTTCAGTAGCTTCTGGTAAAATACAACATGCTTCCATTTTTGTTCTATTTTTCCGTTGTTGGCCTGGCTGCAATCTCCATCCATCTGTGCCCCTCCCGCCACTCCCATTGCCCCTAGAAGGGCTCCAACCGGACATTTTGCATGGGGAATATACATTCCAAAGTCTGAAAGAACTAGCACCAAGAATATTGCTTGGTTTTCCTTTTCTCAAGCATCTATGAAGTATGGTAATTGGTAACTTTTTTTTATGTATTTTTTTAAAAAAGAAATTTAAGTAGAGTTTATTTTTGTATATTTAATTTTTTATTTTTTTGTTTATATTTATTTATTTTTGTTTTTCCTTCTCATATACATTCATTATTTTCATCTGTGATCCAATGCATGTGCCTATTGGGGCGACTGCTATGAAGTGAGAAAATATACTTAAGCTTTTATGATTCAATTATTTTTTTACATAAAAAATTCATAAAAATACTTCACCAAACAATAGCTTAAATTCTCAATGTCTGCACCTACCCCCCCCAGCCCCCCAAAAAAAAAAAAAAAAATCCCGGAGGAAAAGCAAAAAAGAATAGCTCCGAGGACCATTGATTTATTCTCAGCAACAGAATGGAGCTTGCAGATGTCATTAGTCGAATTGATTGAAAAAATTAGAATCTCAATACTGGTTAACATGCAAGATCGTAACAGGTATCCTGTTATGTACAAAGCCCAGATTAATAATATTTCATTGTGAAAGTAACATGCATTGCAAAACATTCATAAGAAGATTTATTACACACTGCTGATTCATTGACCAGGACCGCCAGATTTAGGAAGAATTATATTCAGATCTCCTGAAGTTTGTTATTTAATCACTTAGATTTTTAATATTTAAAATATTACATATAAACTCCTTAAGGTTTGTACGCGCGTAACAATTAGACCTCTGTCGTCAATGTCCGTTAGAATATCTCTAAGCAAATTATATTTAGACTCCTTAAAATTTGTATGTGTATAATATTTAGACCCCTCCAGTTTAAAATATTATACTTAGACAAAATATTATAGTTGGGATAGTTTGATCGTTTAATAGGTAGTATAAATGTATGCTAATTACAATTTTTTTAAAAAAAAATTGAATTTTTATTTTTGATTTTATTATAATAAATGATATAATAAAACATGAATTTTGGTTATAAAATTTTAAATATTTGATATTCTATATTTGATTGAATTATTTTTTGTCATAGTATAATATTTTAAACTTGAAAGGTTTAAATATTATACGTCTATACATTTTAGGGGGTTTGAATATAATTTACTAACAAATATTTTAATGAACATTGACGATAGAGGTTTAAGTGTTACGCACGTACAAACTTTAAGGGATCTATATGTAATATTTTACATATCGGGTCTAAATAATTAAATGACAAATCTTAGGAGGTGTAGGTGTAATTTTTCCCTAGATCTCTCTTCGTGTTCTTTCATCAGGTTTACTTGTACAAAGTTTGTCCATGGCATCTCAGTGAAATTAATACAAATGCACCACTAATCATTAAGATCATAAGTAAAACAAAACCGTCGCAAAACCATGCTCAATCACCAATTTACTACTAAGACAGGCTACGAGACTAATTTCTATCTGTCCTCCTTACTTATCAAGATAGATTTACAGCAGAAACAAAGAAAATATTGTTGCTGATGATATATTCTTACTACTGAGTTGGCTTCATTATACCGACAACGTGAATTAATTTTGTTGACTTTTTCAAAAAAAAATCCAGAGGGCAGGCCGCTTCTATCTAAACATAGCGGGAGAATGACAGAAAATATAAGAAAGAAATTTTTTATGTGTTTGTTGAGCATAAAATGGAAAATGCTGAAAAAAATTTTTCTTTCGTGCTTGAATTTTCTCATAACTAACCAACTTTTTTTTCTCGTAAACAATACAAAAAAATGCAAGAAAGTTATGATTTATATTTAGCTTCTTATTTTACCCTTTTTTTTTTAAAAATATTTATTGATTATTAATTTTAAAAAATATTAGTATGGATTTCATTAACTATATAATTTGGTCCAAAGATTTTCATGCAGGTGCTTGTTATATAATTAGGTTACAAGCCACTTTTTTAAAAAAAATTTAAACTTTCAATTATAATACATATTTTTTTTTCTTTAGGCTGATTTAATATAATTAAAGATAATTTGGATAATTAGAAAATTTTATTGTAATTTTATTTTCTTTCAAAGAATATAATGAAATTTTTTTTTAGACTTTCTTGCAATTTTTTTATCTAATCAAATATATGCATGAAAATATATTTATATTATTTTTTTTTCTTTCACTTCACTATATGTCATTTTTACTTTTCATTAGTTTTTCTTTCTAACCAAACGGACCCTTAATTCTCATTGCCTACTGGAAGGCGATCTTTTTTCCGCATTCTTCCATTTATTTTGCTACCGTTGCCTCCAAATCAGATGAAATCATATTCATATCCTCGAAATACGGCCAACTACTCTTGCTTTTCTCATCACTGTTATTTTCCTCTTAAAGCAGGATCAAATCAGTAACGAGGAACAGAAAGTAGTTACCATCACATGTAACAAAAGATGCAGAATTGAATGATGTAGGATTTCAAGGGTTACCATACAGCAGGTGGAATGTGAATGAGTTTCCTCATACAGTGAGGGAGAGGTTGGACAGTGTGTGGGGTTCTCCTTCTTGGTTGAATGCATTTCCAGGAAGTATGGTTACCCACATCCCTAATTCTAACTACGATAATTATCAGCTACTGTTAAGAGAGGCATGGAAAGAAGAAGAAGAGGTTCAAATTTGAACAAATGTGGACTACTGATCCAACTTGGGATGAGGTTAGTTGGAGTTGCTGGAAAGTGGCAAGGACATATGAAAAAGCAATGCAGTTCATAAACAATATTTAGATCATGTCGATTTTAGAATTTTGAAGTGGAAAAAGGAAAAGTTTGGTGATAAGTATGAGCAGTTGAGAGCAAATAACGAAAGGATATCACAACTACACTCAAAAGTTATTACTCAAACTTCTAAATTTGAGTTGTAGAAGAATCTCTTACGCCCCAATTTTCATTAAAGCATGCTTTAATAAAAAGTAATATTATCCCCAAAATTTCTTTTCGGTTTACAAAAATAATTAAATGAAATGAAACATTTGATTTAATCAAAACATATTTTTTAAAAAATTTCGACAGAATTTTATTTGAAAATCGGCTTCTAACCAGTTAGTAATAACACCCCTGTGAAAACTTAACATAATTCAAACTAACTAAATATCGTCAACATGTATCCATCAAAATATAATCCAACTAAAGTCAAGGTGACAATTAGAGGTCCACAGAGTCCTCCTAAATCTGGATACATCAAATACCAATATATATCAAAACTTAATACCAAAAGTCATAACTTTATATTACAATACCCAAAATAATAATATCTCTATGATATGATCAAATGTGCACCACAAATGTCTCAAGACAAACTTTTCAAAGACAATGTTTGTGTGCTAACATTTGTAAATAAGTTATACAGGTAAAATACAAATGATTCCAAATAGATTCTTCTTAATCCAAGTTTCCACCATGTATTCCATTATCACCTACGTATCAAGATGCATGTTAATCTCTGAAAATATTAGTAAAAAGTGAACAACCACAGCCTAATAGGATAATTATTTTTCCAAGTATGTACAATTTATAAAGTTTTAAATACCAACATTTCTCATACTATACGAATAAGTAATGAAAGCTTTCTATAATTAAGTATAGATACAATGTAATAAGTAGAACATTTATAAAAATCTCCTAACACATCATATTATTAAAAATATACAAGTTATAAATCAAAGGTTTATATGTTTGAAGTTAAACCATCATAGTAAATACCATGCATGTCTCACATATAGACAATATAATTAGTCTAACATCAGTTCTTGCATGAACCATTCCCTAAAAATCTTTTGGGTCTTACACCTTAAGATCTCATCGCCCTTCTTGCTTTTTAAAAGGACGTGTAAGACACAATTTGTGATGTCACACATGTCAGCATCAAAAACCACTACTATATCCAATCCGCTTTAGGACAAGTAGTCGCCTTGGCAACCCACTCAATAGGGTCAATCATCTACTAACCCTCTGTCTATCAGTATTAAGCATACATTTTTTAAAAAATAATTATTTGCTATATCTATGAACCCTTTTGAAAACAATGTCATAACCTTGACATCTTATCAAATATGCAGTAAGCTCAAAATCTCAAATTTTGCATTTTCAAAGAAACACAATAATTTTAAGAGAATAATTCATATACATTATGTACAAGATTATAGCATACTCCAAAACCTGAAATGTGATAACCTGATCCCGAAAAAGAAATGAATTGTTAAAAATTAGAGGGATCTAATTATGATTATTAAAACTCTAATAATTAATGTAAATTGGAGGGACTAAAACAAATAACTAGAAAAATATCTTGGGAAGAAAGTGAAGTCAAAAAAAAAAAGAAC